ATTCAAAGTGACCTTGTCCTGACCTTGACGACGCCACTCAGGGTCAAACCAATGTTATCATCTTATGTCCCCCTCAAAGTCCGAAAATTTTTGTCTAAAACATTTTTTCCTAGTGTGCTTATTTTTCGAGATATTTGAAAGTTTCAGGTTAAAAAAATCACCCTGTATATGTATATATGTATAAGTGTTGATAATGTATCTTAAAAAAACCTTTTTCAAAAGATATTAAGATTGTTCAGAAACAAATATTATTAATTAGTTAATATAAATATCTAAGTATTTGATTAGATAAACAACATAAGAGTATTTACATACCAAGGAATTCATGCATTTTAGGCGATTTGGGAAGCATGCATTGAACATTGGATTCACTTTTCTCCTTATTCAATTTTACTTGTTTCATTAATTAATAAGATTGGTTAACTTTTCACGCTTATTTTAACGACCATTTTTTTAAATAGATTCGGTATGTTTTATTTCCATAATTTGATTTTTCTAATTTGGCATTCTAAAAGTATTAAGATACAGATATTGAAAAGTCAATATTTTTAGAGAAATTTCATACTTTAAACTATTAATTTATTTTAATTAATTTATTTTTTTTTATTTTATTCTTGTAAACTATTAATTTTTTAATAATTATATTTTAATACTTTTATGTACTGAATAATGAAATAAATTAATTAATGTAACGAAAATACATTATTTTTCAGAAAATATGTAATTGCACATTGTAAATTATATAATTTTTAAAAATATAATTGTTTTTTTTTATTAAGTAATTTATCTCATAATTATATGCAAAAATACTAAGAATTATCAAAAAATTAATAGTTTATAACATATTTTATACTTTATATTAAAATATAATATGATAAAATAGAAAATATTTTAGAAATTATTGATTTTTCTTTAACTTTATCTTAATGCTTTTACATATAGAATTATTAAAGGAATCATTATGAAAGAAAATATCCCGAATCCATTTTAGAAATGGAGTTGATCTTGATGTCTTCAAAGCACATCAACTTGGACAAAAATTATTATAACCATATGCAGACTCTTCCGTATAATTTTAATTAGACATATCTTTTTCTGGACATCAAAAATTTTAAAATATTTAATATTGTTATAATTACTGCCTCATCTTGTATTTTAATAACATTTATAAATTAGTGATATTTACTTGTAAAATCATAATTTGGATCATTATGACTATCATTAATACATTTAAAAATTTTTTTGACCAACTATAACACATATACATACATATCTATTTCCTAAGTAATCAAGATTGTCAAGACAAAGTTAATTATGAATTTTTGTTAAATTTGAATCAAGACATAATCTTTCGTAATAATTATATGGTATTAGTTTACTTATATATGTATACTTTTGCTTATTAATATTTATAATAGTCAAGCAAAAACTTGATTATTATGTAAAATTTTTTTTTTTTTTTAAATGATTAGTATTTCGATAACTATTGCAATAATCGCAAAATAGTAGAGGACTTCTTGATTCAGTTCTGATTAGTTTTGTAGTAATGTTCTCATATGTTGTGATAGTCTTATAAATAACATTTATACAAAATTTAAACAAATAAAAAATGTATTTGTTACTTGTTATACTTCTTTTCTGACCATTGTATATCATCGTTATAATTGATCACATCAAATTGTGCAAAACAGCATTGCAATGTTTATGTAAAAAAATCATCATAGTTTCTTAATTCAGTAAAACCCACGATATAATCCTTAGTTTTGCCATTCACAATTAACGCAATTATAGGTATAACTCCGTAACCGTTCTGTAATGCACAAATGAATATTATTAGCAAACTTAACTATGTTATTGTCAAAATGTATTTTAGAAAGGGACATCTCTTAACGTTCAATTTGCAGAGTCTCGCTTTGGTATGTTTCTTCATAAAAATCTTGAAATGATGATTCACTATTTTATATCGTGGAGACTGGAGAATCATCTTTATTAAATCAGATTGCATCCATGTAATAAAACTTATATAGAAACTTATCTGACATCCATATGAATCTAAAAGTAGAAATTGTAGTAAAATACACTGTGATATTACACTGTGATTATTATACACTGTAATATTACACTGTGATTATTAACCCCTCACAATCTAAGACGACTGGAATAGATAATCTTGGAGATGACAGTAGATCCTTGTCAGAGAAATCAGCGACAATCAGTGCGCGGAAAAGACCAGACACTACACACGCGCGCCGATGATTACCACAATACTAAATAAATAATACACAATACCAAATAAATAACCTCAGTACAAAATCTCCGCAATGGAGTCGCTCATGAAGTAAACGCAGCAAGAAAACCAATCAGCATCACGGAAAAGCGGCAACAATATTTTCGAGAGATGAAAGTTATCGATGTCATGCATGGACCTAAGAATCTATGGACGGAGCGTAGAGTGGATTCATAGGCAAGGGAGATCGTCAAATTTGCGGTAAGGGGAATGAGAGCGCTCTTTTCTTCTGTCCGCTTATCGTCTCTTTCTATAAGAAGATTCCATCGGCTTGGTAATGAAATTAACCGAAGACGTCCGAACGGTCCGAAAATACTCGAAAAATGCTAAAAAAGTTTTGAGATTTCGAGCATCGCGTTTTCAGCGTTTTGTAAAAAGATTTGTTAATTTTTTAAAAAGTTTTGTGTCAATTTTTAAACAATGCCGACCTGTATAATTCGGGCTGTGGTAATCAGACTGATCCGAAAAAAATTATAAAACAAGGAGCAGAAATTAAAGCCTGATCGAACGGATACTGATTTTAATAGGCGAAAGTATGAAAAACACCTCAAATAAAAAAATTTATATTAAAATTTTTGTTTAGAAATTTTTTTATGGAAAGACTCAATAGATTTTTTGCAAGATTGAAAGGTATTTCTTTCTTTATGAGTTTTATCATAATTATATTAAAACACTTCTTTAATTATTAAATAAATTTATTATTTTATGTTAATGTATGTCTATATTTTTTAAATTGCCAATTAGTAGTATGTAATTCGAATGCACGCACATACGCGCGCGCGCACACACACACACACATACACACATCCGTACTTTAAGGTTAACGAATATCTAGTCTTTCGGGAATCATCGGGTATACGGCGGAAACACTCGACAGGGTCCTATCCGAGAAAGAGACAGCACTACACCCCCCTTACCGCGGATTAAGCAACCGAACTGCCTTGCGCTGATCCATCCATATAGATCCATGATGTCATGCTTTTTTTTAGATCCATGATGTCATCCCTTTTCTTAGATCCATGATGTCATGTCTTTTCTTAGATAGGACTAGAACAAAACATGCACGCGCCACTCATGTATATTTTTTTATAATGAATAAAAAATATTATTATTTAGTATATAAGAAATTTAAGGAAATATTTAAAAACTTAAAAAACATTAAATTTTTTTTAACAAAATATTATATTTTATAATTTTTAGTAAAAAAATTAAAAAATATATCTGAAAATAGTCTTTAATATACAATATGTGCCAAAAAAATTATTTATGAGAATAATACTATACATTTTTATAAAATCTATTTTTATGATGTTTCTTTGCTAAGATATTTAATTTTTAAATAATAGTTTGAAAAGTATTGTTAAATAACTAATAACTAATAATTATAATTTAAATAAGAGAATAATCGCTTATGTGAATAACAGAATTGATTTCAAGGGCGCCTTTCAGCACAATCGAATGGGACTTACGTAGAAATCACCAACTGTTTAATAACTAATTAAAGGGACTCAAGACTGCTACGTAAATTAGTCAGAATACGCTTAGATTTGTAAAATGATCTCAAGAACATTTTGAATAAACCGAATACGCATAAATTTTTTAAAAAGGCTCAATCCCTCTCCGTAAAATAAGAAAAATACGATCAGATATTTTAACGGGGCACAAGCTCTCTTTGTAAAATAAGAAAAATACGGTCATCTAACCTTTAAAATATCTATTTTAAAAGAATTCAAGACCGCTTCCTAAAATAATCATGGTAAATTCACACCTTGACAGATAAGCGGAAAACAGAAAAGCAGAAGTCAATCAGAACTCGCACTGTTAGCAAAAAAAGCAAAAAGCAAAAACTATTGACTACTAACGCGAGTTCTGATTGGCTTCTGCTTTTCTGTTTTCTGCGCCTTTTCTGTCAAGGTGTAAATTCGCCCTCAAAATACGTTTAGATATATGAAATGGTCTCAAGACCATATTGCAAAATAAGTAATAATAATTTTTTAAAGATTCTCAAGCCCGATTCATAGAATAAAAATTATACTATGAGGTTCTTTAATGGGACTCAAGCCCGCTTCGTAAAATAAGAAAAATACTGTCAGTTTCTTTAAAGGGACTCAAGATCGCTACGTAAAATAATCAGAATACGCTTAGATTTGTGAGATGGTCTCAAAACCATTTTGCCAAATAAGCCGAATACGCACACTGAGAAAAAAAATTACTTAAAACAAATAAATATGTTTCAGGTACCCCTCAAAGAAATAATTTTCTTGAAGCAAATAAAATTTTTTTATTTTAAGTAAAAGTGTTTGCACTGAGAAGATCGGAAGAGCACACG